AGCCTAGTGCTGCAGTATGTTGGCTTAGTGCTGCAGTATACTAGCCTAGTGCTGCAGTATGTTGGCTTAGTGCTGCAGTATACTAGCCTAGTGCTGCAGTATGCTGGCCTAGTGCTGCAGTATACTAGCCTAGTGCTGCAGTATGTTGGCTTAGTGCTGCAGTATACTAGCCTAGTGCTGCAGTATGTTGGCCTAGTGCTGCAGTATACTGACCCAGTGTCGCATTATACTGACCGAGTGTCACAATATACTGGCCATAGTGCCACAACATACCGGCCTAGTGTATAGTATACTGGCCTAGTGCCACAATATACTGGCCTAGTGCTGCAGTATAATAGCCTACTGCTGCAGTATACTGGCCCAGTGTCGCAGTATACTGGCCTAGTGCCACAATATACTGGCCCAGTGTCACACTATACTGGCCTAGTGCCACAATATACTGGCCCAGTGTCGCACTATACTGGCCTAGTGCTGCAAGTCCATCCACCCAAGAGCATCCCAGTCCAACCGAAAATTGTCCACATTAACCAGGAAGTTTCGATCCATTTAGATGGCCGTGGCAGACTGGAAACTGGAGCGTTCCAGCTACAACTAACACATGATTATCCCTTTGGGGTCATGGATCATAATCTCTTTTTAGAAGCAAGTACAGCTACTGTAATCAAGTGCCATAACTTAGCTTTAGGCTCCAAATATATGTAACATCCCAGCAAGGAAATATGTGCAATATAATCTGAACATGTAATATTAACAAACAATGAGAAAATAACTCTATTAATATTGAACAGGAGCTCCTTTTAATTGCTAGTTAAGAACAAGACAATATTGTTTCTTCTTTTTAGAGGCTCAGCAGAAAGCAAAGGTGTTATTGGAAATATACTGGAGGCTGTTTCCTGGCATCCGACGGACTTCTTTGCCACACTGTTACCAATCTCTTTACAAGGATATTTTCCCCCTTTTCCCCCGTGTTTACAAAAAGGATTTATCTGGCAGGTTCCTGCTAAAAATACATCGTGACAAAGGAAGACCTGGCTTGTGAGCTTCGGCAGTGGCTAATTTCCATATCGGGGAAAGCGGCGGTTCAGGGCCCGAGTAAAAACCATTAAGTCGCTCTGAAAGTGCTGGAGAAACTCAAACCAGCTAGCAGTGCTTTTAAGTCTATTTTACTTTGCAGGCACTAATGTATTGCAAAGGTGGCTGTACATACACTGTATATTGTTCATTCTTTGCCACATCAGTGTTGTGCTGGTCCTGTCAGGTTCAATAGTGTATTTATATTAACCCCTTATTACAGTCTCTTTATGTAAGCTGGTATAAAATGTGTTTGGTAATTCAGTCACAATTAAATGCTGGATGTCATGTAAGTTGTTCAATAGCATAAACAGTAGAACCATAAAGGTGAAATATTTGATGCTGAGTAACTTCCTGCGAATTGAGTATGTTTTCTGCCCAATGCCAGCCCTGCTGTGTAATTTCTGCAGGTCGCTCATCTGTAACAATGGCGAAATGGATAAAAGCATTTTCACCAGAGTAATTTGCAGCCAGTCTAAAACAGTTTGCCTTCAGAACGTTTTGTACAGGGATGACGCGATTCACCGGCTCGCATCAGTGCGCCGGTATTAAAGTTCACAATGTGATTGTGTGATTGAAAATAGTGTGCACTGGATACAATTCGGGATTAACTCAGGATGCATCGTTTGTAACATGCTTCCATAGATAATATCCAATTTATTAATATACAATTATTAGTAGAGGTCCTATGCTGTTAATATTTAGAAAAGTGACAATTTTTGACCAATAATTTTACATTTAGACTGATCGCTCTTAAACTGTTTCTGTATCTGTTCCGTATAGGATTACACAGGATCTTATTTTTTTGCATTGCATCGTATCACATTAGTAGTTGCTTCATATGTATCTGTAATGTATCTAATCACTGCCAGGGCATCAAGTTGTGTATCACATGGGCCTCAATGATGGAGACATTCGTCCCAGTTTTGTAGGGACTGATTTCTATCTATGACTTTGTGCTCCAATTGGGAAGGGGAATACAGTCACATGACACAGGGTGGTGCGAGCAGAATGGGGATTCTTCTGGGGTAAGGCTTTAAGTAATGGAATACATGAGAGAGTGTGAAACAAAGTGAAATGATATGTGCTTTCAGTCCAGGGAAGTTTAGTAAGGACTAAACCTCTGGTTTCAATTGGTTTAACCTCAGGACATCAATCAATTAAGCGATTAATTCACAAAAGTAGTGCTGGAGATAATTTGCAAGGGGGGGTGCTAGTGGAGATTAAGGCAAGGGTTATTCTAGGCCTTGTGCCGCCGATGAACATCAGGACCCTGTAGGACCTCCAGGTTCTCTGCCATCTTACGTTCAACACGTGGGCTTTGTCGCCGCCCTGCAGGCGTGCTGGTGGTGGTGTTCGGGATCTGCTGGGCCCCCTTCCACACGGACCGCCTCATGTGGAGCTTCATCGAGGTTTGGACCGAGTCCCGGCAGAAGATGTTCGAATACGTCCACATCCTCTCCGGTGTTTTCTTCTACCTGAGCTCCGTCGTCAACCCCATCCTCTACAACCTGATGTCCTCGCGCTTCCGCGAGATGTTCCGCGAGGTGGCGTGTCGCCGCCCCCGGCACCGGTACTCCCCGAGCGTGACCCGTGACACGCGGCTGACCCTGCGTAGCACCGTCTGCGAGGGCCACCCCGGACCCAGCGTGCCCATCTCAGACGGCGAGGATTGCATCAAGTACGTGGACTATCAGCACGACCAGGAGACCACCATGGCGTAGGGGGAAGACACAAATCTTCAGTAGCCTTTCATTGTAATGCCAGCATTCAATATATGAACTAATTAATATCACTTAACCTTTTCAGGTGTAGATAATGTACTGATTAGGCCACTTCCCCGTCAACAATGACGTTGTTTCCTATCTAAGGAATAGCTTTAATTAATAAGCAGAGTGGCAGGACTGAAAGGTCGATGATAAGGAGTCTTTAAACACGGACATTAACATTTTTCATCAAGTGTCGCCGCATGACTTCATGACGCGTCAGCAAGCGTCCGCTTCCTCTCCGACTCCCCGAATCGCGATCAAATGCATTTCTGTTCCACGCAGCTGTTCCACTCCATTGCGTTTAATCCGTATAATGTTACAATAAAACAATAAAAGCAAAAATCAATAATTATATATATACATCACAGAAAAGGCCAAGTTTATGGATGTGATGTGATTCTATGTTTTGATGGTGAAGATGTGCAGAAGGAATTGACCAAAGGAAATAGGCTTTTCTGAAACGTAGAAGACAATTCAGATATTTTTTTCATTTCAGTCTACTTCTTGGGATTAATCCCGATACATCAGAGATGGCAGCACCATGCCATGCATCCAGTCCTGAATGGTTATGTCTTCATACGCCAGGGGTGGGATTTGGTCAGAGGGAATCAGCCTCACACCCTCATTGGTCCATCCAGGGTTCTAGAACCACAGGTGTCAGAATGGGTGCCTGGCAAACAGGCAAATCACAGACCCCCTAAAGGCAGAATGAATAAGGGACATGGGAAAGATTCACACGGTAACCACATCCTGAATCTCGGTATCATATCCTAAACTGCCCAGCAACCCGTCCATCACGTCTCCGTGGATGTCGCTCTGTGTTAGCAGGAGCAAAATAAGAAATCAGGAAAACTGACAGAGTCCCCCGGCGGTTTGCATGACACTTATGATCCCCGAAGCGTTATATATTTACTAAATGACAAGCAAAAAGCTAGCAATTTGTTTAAAAAGTCTTTGCCGTTAAGATGAATTATTTGCATCAGAGATTTGATATATACATATATTTTTTTTTCTGAAACAGTGAGTAGTAGCACGTTAGTTTATCACTGGCTGTGTAATTATGCTAAGCTCTTCCTCGATTCCCTTCACAATTTTGATAGACACGTCCTTTTCAAAGCAGTGACAATGTTAGCGTCTGACATGGCTAGCTACAAATTACGCAAAGAAACAGACAGCAGACAGCTTTGTAAATACACAGAAAATGAAAACAGGGGTCAGCCCGGTGAAGCAGACAGCGTGACGGGTGCCAGTGTACGTCAACACGCGTGCGTTCAGCACACGAGCATCATGGCCGCTGTTTCTCTTTTAAAAGGAGATATTTGTCATGTAAATGGAGCCTCCCTAACTTCATCCCACGTCTGCTCTGCTCAGAATGCTGATGAAAGCAGCTCACTGCACGTTTCAGGCATCTCGCGCTTTCATGTGCGACTCGTGCTTTCCAGAGGAGGGAAAACCTCCTCTATTACTCCATTTGGCCCTTGATTAGGTTGTGACGGGAGGGAAGAGAGGGTGTTTAAAGTAAATAAGGCATCCAGCAGAGAGCTTCAGCTCTCAGTGACTCGCAGCGCTGAGGTCTGTCCGCTCAGATACCAGCCCAAAAGAGCAATGATGTTACTAGATTTGAAGGATGAAACAGGACTTTGAAACATTCAGTAAGTGGGATTAATCAGGCGCTCTCGCAAGATCAACTCACAACCCCATTGGTTACTTTAATGGTTCGTTATATCAGACTAGGCTGTGATTGGTAGTTTGAGGTGACTCCACCCACCTTGAATTTTGAAACCTCATACCTGTTGCTATTAGTGATAATGCCAGTGGACAGTGGACCATTTCTGGAGATTAGAGGGTAGAATTTCAGCTGCTGTCTCGTGACATCCAAAGGTGGAGTGCTTTAAAAAGGAGGTCCATTATCACAACGCAGTGCGTGGAGGGAAACAGAGAAGACAATCAAAAACAATCATTCCTGTAATATTTTACCATTTTGACATACAACTATGGGTCTAAGCTTAATGTATAAAATATAATGTAAAAAATACCTGTTTATCATGTAAATTAAAAAAATGGACATTTCCATTTTCTTTTCATATTTCAGAAATGACATCATCATGCCCTGGACGTCCACCAATGTGAAATGTAAAAATGTATTATTCTGGTTAATTACTGTTCTTGTCGTTGCTATTTTTTAAACCAGTAAAGTGGTTTATATCTTGTTTTCCGATCTTGTTGTAAATGTTGAGGATTCCTGACTGTTAATGTCAGCATGTGCGTAAGTCTTAAAACATTTGCTAACATGACCATGAATGTTGAAATATCCCACATCTCAACTGGAAAACTTGTGTAACAGATTAAATATATACTTTTTAATAATGTTGCAAAAAAAATGTCAATAATGACACCGCATTGCATTGATTTAGGAGACGCTTCGGAAAGGAGGGCCAGACTGAGGGTCAGGGGTCACAGAATGGTGACATCACATTGTGGGCCATGGGATGTGAACCAGCAACCTTCAGCTCATACGGCGTCCAAACCCACAGAGCCATATATCACCCCTGCTAAACTAATCAGCATATGTATGGGTGTGAATTACCACAGTGCCAATCACGCCTGCCAAAAATATGCCTTCCAAAGACGTATTCGGCTGACACATGCACAGAAACGTTAGGAAAACTGTGGAACACAACGAACATCCCACACTGGACTCACTTTACAATGGCAAAGGGATGAACGCAAGGTCCAGAGATGCAGAAATTGTGATACAACATCTTTCCTATATGTCTTAATGTCTAATACAATAGTCTTATAGTGAATACAATAGCTTTATATAAGTTTCTGTCAGGTTTCTGGGGAAGAGATGATTATCAGAAAACTATGGTGAGCTGTCATGTAGCTGCTGAACTAGCTTAATACCTTCTGTGTTAGTTAGGCTGTGGAGGACCAGCTGCTAACTGGAACTACTGAAGAACAAGGTGTTCAAACAAGATATAAATTCACTGGAGATGCATGTGTCCTGTGTGAGAATGCTGTGTTTAAATAGTTAAACTCTTTACTTAGTCAGGACCAGCAAAATACTGAGAATTTGTGCTTTCCATTTAGCATAGCATTTCAGCCTTTCCAGACTTCCCACATGAAACCGGACCCCAAATGTCCGCCAGGGACGTCAGAAAGCCAAACACAAGCCCTTGGGTCATGCTGGATGGGATTTGGCTGTGGATTAGTGCCATGTATCAATATACAACAGAATAAATGTCTTGTAGCACGGAGATTTTATATATCAGAAAATCTGAGGGAAATTTGAGGAGTCCAGTTCTTACTGTCAAATAAAAGATGTATCATTGTAATTGTAGCCGATGCTCCGTAGGGGGCGCTCCGAGCCTAACGAGCTGGCCCGTATAGTGAGCAGACTGCTGGCAGAGGGCAGGGTCCCTACTGGCGCCCCCCCGGTGGTCCTCCAAGAGGCTGCAGGTACACAGCTGAAATGTAGCCAGACCAAACCATCATCCTGATGCCAGGTCGGTAAGTCAAAACGCTAAAGCACCCAATCAGTACGGCAGCCTGATCTGCGCAGAGCTGCTGCCATACTGGTGAAGGTTTGGCAGGTAAACAAAACCTGCCTTTTTATTTCTCTGTCGTTATAGAGTCTGGAGCTGAATTAAATGGACCAGCTGAACTGTAATATGAGACATACAGCAGATTTTCTCCCTCTTTCCACTCCTCTATTCCTAACTGTGTCAATGACTCATTTTTCGTACCTCGCTTCATCAATATGCTCCCCTATTAGGCCAAAATCTCATCTCTGCTTTTCTAATCAGTTGTTTCCACCAGCCTCTTGTACGAGCTGGAAACGCACTCTAGCTTCCAAATGCCCCTGATAAAATATGACAAGCTTCAAAAACAAAAGTTATTTTAAGGGTCTTCATTGTGCTTTTTCAGTTTTTTGGAAAATGACTGCCGCAGCCTGCCAAGAGCAACGTTCAAGAGGTTTAAATCTGAATTTAATGAAATGTCCCGTTGTCTCATAATACTTTCAGGATTTGGTTATTGTGTATAGTGCCAGGAAGGTCAAAATGCATGCCGTGTGAATATGACGAAAGCAAACTGCAGGGGGCGCTGCAGGAAGCAGTTACGTTTTGTTATAATCAACTATTGGCCAATCAGATTCCATTTTGAGTATATTTGCATGGTTAAGCTACAACATCAAACCCATTGACCAAAATCATTTCAATTCAAGAATTCTGCCATAAGAAATGCTTCATTACTGTTATTGTTAATTACTGCTGTCAGGATAATGGATAATACAGCGAGATCTCTGCAGGCCCCTCACATCTGTCTCTACAGTGTTACCTCACTTTTTCACCTTAGGCCAGCGGTTTACCTATGCGAGTCTCCTATGCGAGTCTCCTATGCGAGTCTCCTATGCGAGTCTCCTATGCGAGTCTCCTATGCGAATCTCCTATGCGAGTCTCCTATGCGAGTCTCCTGTGACTTTCTTATCTGCTTTTATTAAGTTGCCTGTCATTTGCCTAACTCACATTTAGCTATTTGGATGCCTAATGCACTTCCCCGACTGACTATTGCACATAGCTTGTTTTATTAATCAAATGGATTTACTGACGTTAACATCATCTCTCTTCCTGTGGTTATTTGCTCACAGGGAATTTCAACAGTGTGGAAAAATCCGTCACCTGTCATTGCACCCGTCTGGGAATGTGGTTTTGTGGTCACGACCAGACTTCTCACAGCCACCTAGAGGTCATACAAAACGCTTCTTCTCTGCAACTGGACATAAGTACAATCGTGAATTGTTCTTTGGAGGTCACTTATTCTAAATCACGAACAGATGTTTCCAACCTTGAACGATACAGCTACTACGGGTCACTGAAATCGGAGCATTTTTAGAAATGTTTTGATCATTTCTTGGTGGCATTAACAATATGCATTGTCTGTCAAACATTACAATTCGTTTAGTAGGAATTTGGTAATCAGATTTGTTGGCACAAATTGAATTTTTCGTCTTCATGTCTCTTTTGGCGTCATTGTGTCCTTGCTTTATTGATCTTTCCTGTTGTCCCTTTTGGTTCAACTTAAGCTTTTGTAGCCAATGTATATAAATCCTGTATCACTGTAGCAGACAGTGCACCATTTTATATGTTACGTAAAAACTCATCAAACACAAGGCGCCATATTGGCTCATTAGGCAGCATTATGACATCATTTCCCCAGGGACAGGAAGTACAAACCCCACCCTCAGCTGTGTATCTCTGCACTGCTTAAGTTCTCTCTTTGAATATGTGGTGTCTTAGCCAATCCAAAAATATATGAGCGTGCCCCAGTGTTCCCAGTGCAGGCACTAGGCCTGTTTTCATTATGGATATAGATAGATAACCAAAAGCACAACTTGCTTTAACACGACCTGAGACCCAAGATAGGTGGATGGAACAAGGATGGATGTTTTAACAGAGCGTTTCGCAACCCATTCCATTGGGACCCCCAGACAGCTCACCTCCCTCCTGGCTCCTAACACACCTGTACCAAGTATTACATGTTCTTGACTGTTTGGTTGTGCTGGAGGCTGAGAGGGACCAAAAATGCGGACTGTCTGGGAGTCCCCAAGGACTGAGTTGAGAGACATTGCTTTAACGCAATCCTTTTTCACATGAAATAAGTCACATTAACATGCAGCTACAGATATGCTTGATAATACTCTCTGAAGTGACATAAAAGAATCTTGCCATCGCAAAGGATTAGCAAAAGAGTTATTTCTGTGCAGAATTAAATTCTTGTCTCCAAATCCCATTCTCTTAACAATTATCTCTTAGCATGGCACTTACTTTTCCTTAAGTGTGGGTTTTACTTGTTTGTTCTTAAAGTACACATCTTACCAATCGTTATCGTTTATGCTCAGCCCTCTCTCTCCTTAAGCTATATTAGGCTTCTGTTTTAGATAACAGCATAAGACCGAAGAAAGCATCGCAAAGAACTTTTTTTTCCTGCATCATCTGAAGTTCATTTTGAGTGCAAATGATAAGAAAAACCCATCAGAAAAGAAAACCACAAAAAAAAAACTATTAGATTAAGAAACCTGATCTTCCTTTGGTTTCTAGGTAAATCTGAAGTTCTGCATTTGTCTCTAATCTAATCAAATCATTGTACTTTCATTTTGAAAGTAACATGTTTCACATTTGAAGAAGAAAAAACAATTTATGCTGCTGTTTGGGAAGAGGCTGTTTCTGTTCAATACCACTGCTGTATACATTGGCTGGAATAGTACTTTGAAGATTGTTTTATACTCACTGAGGCTTATTTTCTTAACTGATATTACTCTGTGGAGACTAATTGCAAGTATTATTTATCTTAACAAGCTGTTCTTCATTTCATCACTTAATCCACAGTTGGCGTGCAAAGTTCCGTATGCTCTGCAGCATGTGAGTGTTAATGTGTGACAGCAGGGTAACAAAAAGACATGGAGAGGAAGATTCTGTGCAGGAGACAGGAGTCTAGGACGTTTCGCAGGTTGGAAAGTTTGTAATTAGTGGCTTTTAAACTCAGTTGAAAGGAAAATATACATCTCTTTCAGTGAGTTAAATTTAAAGATACCGTGTTGAGCCTAGGCCATAGTGTTATGGTCTACACATCTGCTGTAGGTTCCAAATATGTTTCCAAAGCCATCTGTACTACCTATTCATAGGTTTTGAATAATTAGTTAAAATTATGTACTATACATACACGTTGCATTCACAGTTGGGGCAAAAAAACACAGGTAATATATTTGTCATTATAAACACAAGAAGTACTATAAAGATTACTATACAGACTCCACTTCTCTATACATAAAATATCCATCCATCCATTTTTCATTTCCACTACTCCACTACTACTACACTACTCCTAAGCAGAGTCTCTGTGGTCAATATAATATAAAGTATCAATTAGTCATTCAGAAATGTACAAATTACACAAGAGTAATTGACTGACGCTCTTCCCCTGGAGTCTCCGACACAGCCGTCGATCAGTTACTCAAAAGCACGTCACGGCGTCGACTCCCCTCCCCTCCCACCTCCACACACAACTCGGCATCTCGGCTGCTCACTGCTTATGTTTGCACTGGCTGCTCCTTCTGCATGTTGTAAATCTCCTGTCTGCACTCGCATCTTCCCTATAGCACAATCGCTCTCACTTTATTTCCTGTCTGCACTTTGTACCACTGACTACCTCACGCATATTTTGCAAACAACCATAATTTATATTTATAATTTATTGCATTTGTCATATTTGTATATATTCTGTTTGCACTTGGTTAGATGCGAACTGCATTTAATTGGCACTGTACTTGTACTCAGCCCAATGACATTAAAGTTGAATCTAATCTTATTTTAAACGACATCCATGACTTCCTGGTTTAAAAAAAAGTGCTTTCTCACTCTTGTCTCTGTCGTCACGCTGTGTTGTCCTACTCATCCCTGTTTTGAGGCTACCCTCTGTCAGACACTCTGTTCCATCTCACAGGATTGGTAAGTACACCTTGCATGAACTTATAAACCTCTATCCCAATGTGCGATTGCACGCTCCGCTATCTTCTGGGTGCAATACTTATGGTACGTTATACATATATATGACACTGGGACACATCTCACCTAAGTACAGCTCTCAAAACTGGTTTATAGGTTGCAATAGCTGTCATACCTTATATGAATACCAAAAAGTCAGGGAAGGCTCAGCTGTCCTGTCCTGTTGTCCTGATCAGAAACGTGGTTTCCGTACCCTCATCCAACAGCAGTCATGGGACATCGACTAGGTGATTAATGACCTTTCTAGATCTCACCACTGCATCTGCTTTAACATCCCCTCCTTCAATTCATTGCCATCCACAAACAACACACCCCCACCAGAAGCATTAACCATCAGGAAAGCAATAATGTCAAGCCACAGTATAATGACCCTAGTAGAAAAAAATATTGGTCCATTAAGCTCACTAAGTATTTTAGGGATGAGAAGAAAAAAGTCACGTTGTTCAATTTTAGCTCAACAGCACCTCATCTGGACATACAATGTCATTGCTACCTTTTATTTATATATATTTGTATTTATATATATATTAAACCTGTGCTCATTAACTGATGTGTGTGAGTGTGGAGAAATTTTTGCTGCTGTTTAAAGTCTTTCTTTGTGTCGTGTTCCTCCAGATGTACTGAAAATTCAGTGAACAACCTCTTATGAAATGTATAAATCAATATAAGGACAATTTGAATGAAGTCGGTTTTGTAATTATAATTACGCTGATCAACAAAAATCTTGTCACGAAACGAATAAGGGGTTTCTTTTGTGTACTTTTTTACACTGCACTCAGAATTTCCCTATCACTCATAGTTTTCGAGTGACGTCATCCTTCAGCTATATTGTTAGTAAAAGTCCATGTTAAGAATGTATGAGTATATTAATGTTCACAAGTAAAAGTAAAAACTCTACTTGTGAATATTTTTAAGACTTTACAGAAGGGCACAATGTAGTCTGTTTAGCTAGAGTTTACAGGCTGTTAAACGTTTCGACATGTTGAGATAGGGTCCTCTCTCTCGGATTTGGAAAAAGAATATCAAGGCAAGTGGAATCCCAGCACGCCTGCTGACTTC